TATTTATTTATTTTCCCCCTTTTTATTTATTTATTTTCCCCCTTTTTCATTGCCGGAAAGAGAGGCATGAGACCAATTTGATGGGCAGGTGAATTACGAATGGAACACTGTGCGAGGAGTAAAAAAAAAAAAATTTGCTTCCCACATTTGACTTGCCTGCAGGTCTCACGGACGACCACACTGTTTTTGCCCCTACACAATTCTGCGCCATAAAAGGGAATAAGGCGCACAAATAGTTACCTATATGTTACATGTACATGTTTACACATGTATGTATATATTGACTTTATTTGGGGAACGAGCATTAAAACCATGGGAAAAAAAAAACAAAAAAAAAAAAAAAAAAAAAGGCTCATTTTCTTCCTTCTCAGCGTTGCTCGGTTTTGCTGCTTTTCCCCCTTCCTCCGGAAGGCTAAAGTAAAAAAAAAAAAAAAAAAAAAGAACGGGTAATTAAATCACAAGCACGAAACGGTAAAAAGGGCAAAAAAAAAAAACAAAAAAATATACATATATATATTTACAGAGAAACCGCAACCTTTCACAACAAAATTGACAATTTGCACGATGTACGCAAAGTGACCAAATTTGAGAGGGCCGCTTTTTCTTTTTAATTTTTTTCGGCAAAGTGTTTCCCTTCATACATGCGCCCATGTAATATTTACAGACCGCGCTCAAATTATTTTATTTTTGCGTGATTGTTGCCCCCGGCGGGATCGCAGCGGAGGGTGAAAATTTATATGTACATATGAGTGCATATTATATTGCATTATTTACGTACATATATATGTAGTAGTACATGTTTACGTTTAAGGCCGCCTGCTCCCCATGGCCAGGCAAAATAAATGTGGGTGCCCAGTTGACTTGGTATACTCAGATTGACCGACCCTGAAGGGAAGAAAAAACAGTGCAACACAGTGGTGAGTGACAGGGCTCTTCACGCTTCCCTTCTCCAGCGAAATCAACTCACCTTTTTCGTATTCTTCCAAGCAGAAAAAAAAAACAAAAAATTGCCACGTTTTTTATAAATTCATTATCATCCTTCAAACGTGTACTTTTTTTTTTTTTTTAAGCCTTTATAAGAAAAGGGGGCGTGTCAATTTTGGATATGCCCAACTGGTCGAACACGTTTTCACGTCGTTTTCGTCCCTTTCCATCCTTTGCGACTGTCCCCAGTTTTACGCCGTTGCAGAGTGTGGCGAAGTTGTGAAGTTACCACATTTTGCCCAATTGAAGCCTCCAAATTGGTCATCCTGCCGAGGCGAAAGGATTTACGAACGGCCTTCCAGACCTCCCGTGGCTCGTCCCAATCCTACGCCCACCCGGCTGCATGTTTCAACTCCAAGAATTTCCCGCGGCCAAGCGCTGCTCGAAGTAGTTAATATAAAAAAAAAATGAAATGGGTATTTTGAAAAGGCTCGTACTTTTTGTAGCCTTTGTGCTTTTTTTGCGGTGTTATGATAGAGTACAGTGTGATGAGGTGGCTATGAGGGGAGCGCCCAGCGGGGCCACACCCCCCAAGGAGGACCAAACAGCCAACTCGGACAAAGCGGCCAACTCGGATAAGGCGGCCAACTCGGATAAGGCGGCCAACTCGGGGAACGCAGCCATCACCCCGGGGACGGAAGGCAAAGATCAGGGCCAAGAAGCCAATGTAAATTTAAAGGGTGGCGCTTCCAAGGAGCAAGCCGCGAAGGGGAACACGGCCATCTCTGCGCCCAGTGGCACAAATGGAACACAGGCCCAAACGACCTTTTTGCAGAACAACGAAAAGCAGCAGACGAGCAAGGATAGCGCAAGCAACGCAAACAGCGCAAACGGCCTAAACGGAGCAAGCAACGCAAGCAACGCAAACAACGCAAACGCCCCAAACAACGCAAGCAGCGCAAAGAGCGCAGCCGAGGAAGAACACTCCGTGGTTAAGGAAATAACGCCCAAGCAGGAGCCGCCAAACGAGGGTAACGCCAAAGGCAAGGACGGCGGAGCGGAGAAGGTTGGAACACTTCGCATCGGGAACACCGATGGAGAGGCGAAAGGTGTGACGAATGGTGTGACGAATGGTGTGCCAAACGATGCGCCAAACGGTGTGCCAAAGGAAGAGGAGGCCCCAAGTAAAGGTACAAACCAGAAGTTGTACGAAGAACTAAAGAAACAAAATGAAGAAGAAAAAAATGCAGACATGAACATTCTAAAGCTATTGTCCATCGGGTCATCCCTTTTTATGCAATTAGTATTATTCCCTTCCATTTTTAAAATGATAAAGAAGAAAACGACCGGCGAGATAGATGGGTTACCATACGTGGTGTTGCTGTTTTCCTCATTCCTGTGGTTGGTATATGGGATGCTGTTGAATAACTCAGCCATCATATGCCCAAACTTCATAGGTCTCGTATTAGGATCGTTTTACTCTCTCATGTATCACAAGTACTGCAAGAACATGTGGTTAAAACAGAAATTATTTTCCTATTACAAGATTTGTGGGTTCATATGTTTTTTGCTTTACGCCTTTTTATACCTGTTGACTTATGAGCAGTACGAATTGTTCGTCGGGTTCATGGCGTTCATATCAAGTATTGTGAACTTTGGTGCTCCTTTGTCTTACGTGCAGATTGTAATTAAGAAGAAGAATTCATCTTTGATCCCGTTGGAAATAGCTACGGGTAGTTTGGTGTGCTCCTTTTTGTGGGTCACCTACGGTTTCACCATTAAGGATGGCTTTGTCATTGTGCCAAACTTATGTGGATTCATCTTAAGCCTGTTGCAGATTGCGTTAATCTTATTGTATTCGAACAAGGAAGCCATTGTTAATTACGAGGATGGAGACGAAGTTGATTTTGTGACTGACGGTGGAGGAATCCGTGTCAACAGAAAGAACCGTTACGCTGTTACCGAAAATCATATTTTCATGAACGAGTTTAATTTGGACCCAGAGAATAAAATGGGCAGTGCTGAAGCGTCTACTCTAGGGACAAATTATGGTCATAACGGAAGCAGTAATAATGTGAAGAATGGGAACAGTGCGAATGGCTCCTTTTTAGACTTTGCGTATGACGAGACTTCTCCTCTTACGGGCGCCAACTTTGGAAGGGGCTTCCCTGACGGAGGTGCGGCACGGCAGGGTTACCTCAGTCGCTCGGGAAGTGGGAAGCAGGACTCTCCCCTCACCTTCTGAGCTTTTCCGTCGGGAAGGGACAGCATACCGAGGTAGCATAATTGATTGAGAAAATCGCGCCCTGTCTCCATCCCCCCCCCCTTTTTTTTTTCTTTTATTTTACCGCTTTTGCCCATTTATATTTTATTTATTTTATTTTTTTTTTTTTCGTAATTGTGTTAATAAGGGGTTCATATGGGTTTGGCTATGTGTCTCTTTCCCTTTTGTCCTTCCTTGGGACTACGTGTCAGGGTGCACTTTTCCCCTCCTACCCTCTCCCCCGCCTCTGTTGTTTGTGTTGTGAATTTTTTTCCTTTTTCAGCTAAATTTGTTTGCTATTTTTCTGCTTTTTTTTTTTTTTTTTTTTTTTTCCTTCCTTTTTGCTGTTTTCCTTTTTTGATTGCTCCTGCGCACAGGATGCAAGACATATGGTGGGGGTGGCGCCGGGTAGGTGTGTACACGTCCGCATGTTTATGTGTGGATGTAAGAGGTGTGCTTACCCAGTGCCGCTATCCCATTGCTCGGACCAACACCATCCCGATGTCCCCACCCTCTTTCTTCCTTTTCACGGACACCGTTTTATCATTTCCCATTTGATTTTGCCAAACTCGCTTTGCTGCTGCAGTGCAATTTGAAGGTAGCCAAAACTGTTTTATTTGCGCCAGTTGGAGATTACCCCACCGCCCAAGCTGGTTTTATGACGCCATTTCACACCTCGTAATGGCATTCGCTTCATTTATTTTTGTTCTTCCCACTTGGCGCTTGAGCGCTGGAAGCTACTTTACGGGGGATCAGCTACCCCGTACATATACAGGCATTAGCACGTACGCGAAAGTTCACATATGAGTCTCTCTGAAAAAATGGCGGTGCTTCAGGTTACACTTCCGTTGATGGTGAATTTTATTTTATCTTTTTTTATAAAAGTGGAAGTACCCCTTTAGTTTTGTACACCCACGTTACGTAGAAAAAAAATAATATATAAAATAAAAAAAAAAAAAAAAGATGCCTGAGGGTGTGCAAAATGTTCGAAAAGTGAGGCGCACATGAAAAAAAAATAAACGAATGAGGTTAGTGAACTTGCCGAGTCGAGTGGCCATTGTTGGGGTTGTGAAGAAGTGTTAGTAGAACAAATCTTAAAAAAAAAAAAAAAAAAAAAAAAAAAAAATCGAATGTGCAATTTTGCACATATTTGCAAGTTGAG